ACAGTGTTTGCAAATTCGACCCCCCTGACAAGATGAAACTGATGCTAATTGCCCTGATGATCTCCTGTGTACTGTTAGCCCACACTAAGCATTTGAAAGAAGACAGTGAATGTGAGTAATTCTTCTTATATTCAGAAATGTTTACTGTAGGGAGGTTACCTCTCAATAATATACACTCATGGACCGAACTTAAGCAAGTTGTACCTTTCAGCATATATATCGGGATTCAGACAATGACTCTGAAGATATTTGATATACAGTTATCTTTATTGAGGACATACAAGATAACCAGGTGTGAAAAAAATTGCCTTTGTCTCCTTCAAAAAAAAAAAAAAATAATAAAATAGATGACCGACAACATTAAAGACATTCCACTTCCTTAAGTATTGTCCATGAGTATATATAGATTTAGGGTAATTACCTCAGTTCTTAGTCAGACCTTAGTCTGTAGACCATATCAGTCTATTACATAATTTGTTGTTATCCCATTTCTCTCTCTCTTTGCCCTAGCGCGCTCAACGCGGGCCGCGCAGCATCTGGGAGCCTTCTGCTAACGTCTCCTGCGGGAAAACGCCAGCTCCAGCTATCATGAGGAGTACGAGGCGGAGACTATCGTCTTGCGGGGATCAGCGACCCCCATTACCCATCTTTGCAGACATAGGGCCCGTCGGGCATTGGACTCGGGATGGCTGCAGGCGCATCCTACTGCAGAGCTGGCTGCCCGGTGGACCCCCACCGTGGGCCGACCTTCGTTGGAACTGCTTCTCGGGGCACGACGCAGATGTCGCCCTATGGCTGGCCCTCTACGCCTTATCCCATTCTGACTCGAGGCATGCAACCTGGCATCTTTAACAACAGGCATCCTTATTATATAGATTCCCATTGTTAAAGATATACAATCAGTTTGTTTGCCACGCCATATTACTCCACAGGTGTGGAGATCTGTATAAAAGAGAGCTATTAGTTTGAACTTCATAGACTTCTCTCTCTATCTTTGTTAGGTAAGTAATGGTTTCCAAATCTAATATTTGTTTCCTAATTTCGATCAAATTTTGCGATATTTCGAGTCAAAAGACTTTACTTTAAGGCTCTTTCGCGATATTTTTATATAGTATTAATGCCGTAAAGGAAAGATTTCTTAGCTTGAAAGCTGAATCAGTGTTTTATTGAAATAAAAAAAAAAATAAAAAATTAGTAGAAATAAGAAATAGGCATCTTCTTCTCATGGAACTGGAATTTAACGATGGATTGCACTATCTGTTGAATTGATTATCAAATATTCGTTGATTATTTCATTATTCCAGAATTGGCCGGATACCCATTCTTTATTAATCAAGAAAAACTAACCTCATATGCATTTTGTATGCATTTTTAAAGGGAGAGGTGTTATTTTTGGTACATAAATACCATTCCACAATAATTTTGTGTTGTATTCTAGCTTGAAATCGACCCTGATACTTCATCAGCTTATACATCTGTTTGGCATTCGACCAATTTCATAACCCCTCTCGTAGGATGCTATGAAATCGAAGCCGTACCCGAACTGATAAAAGTCACAGCTCGAAACCATGGTATATAGGTTAGATTATGTCTGAATTTACCGAAACTAGTGTAGTGGCTCATTCTTCATCACAACCTTCACGTTTTCAATGAGATGATTAACACAAAAAGCATTCTTCTAATGTATATTTAAAGGGAGAAAGATATCTCCTTTGCTATACATATATACATACCTAACAACAAATATATATATATATAAATAAATAGTTGTATAGTTTTATAGTTAAGTATTGTATTATAATTATCTTCATTAATTTGATTATTTAAATTCAAATTATAAAATTTGTAAATTGTTATTATTTAGTATAGATAGAGAGAAAAAAAATCCTTTACTTCTAAAACATCATCTAGTTAATTATATATTTATAATTAATAACAATAAAATTTAACAACGTAACGTCTTTTGTATCGGCTTTTACACGTCATTTAGACATACTCTAATCCTATATATAGAATAAAAGAAGTGAGAATATATATGATAGTTAGAAAAAAGAGAGAAAGACAGAACCATGCACTATTAATCAAACTAATAATAAGAAAACAAAAAGTTTTGTAAATAAGGTAGATAAGATTGTTAGTATATATATATATATTTTTATAATTTTATATTTCATTCTTTTTTTTTAAATGATTTTTTAAATTTTTTTATTTTAAAATATGAATATAAATAGTTGTATTTAGTAAAATATCTATATTATGAGTTAACTTTTATTATAAGTTTGGTTATTATGTTTTGAAACCCTAATGGTAGACCAGACATATACAAAAAACTTAAATTGGAGTAATTATTGAAAAAAGAGGTCTGCTGAACCGGGAATTCTCAAATAGAAATTCAGCTTTCAACATTTCATCCCTTCTCTATTATGTCTAGACCTCCTTTCAACCGGATTTTATGTGTTAATATAAAGTTACTTCAGTGAAACATTTATATGAACAGATATAATGTGTACCTACCTTGTCCGCGAACGCCTTCAACTGTAAACATCTATTTCTGGATGACACATGTTGTGGGGGGGGGGGACAAATTTAGACCTTATATTTTGAAGTTGTAGAAAAACCAGACATTCAAAAAAGAAAGAGAAGATAGTTAAGGGAAGAAATCCAAATTTTATAATCTTTACAGTCAGTTAAATTAAAATAATTGATTCAACACTTATTCATCTTTCAATATTCCTTTAAAAAGGCAAATTATTAGAGTTTAATAAAGCTATTAATTGTGAAAATTCACTTTTATTTAATTTCCATTTTCCTCCCCAGAAATTGGAGATTAAACAAAATGAATTCTATACAATATTACTTTAAAAATCTTGTGAAAAAATCTTCAAATCAGCTATTTAATTTAAGTTTAACTAATTGTTAAAGATTATAAATTTGTAGTAGTGATTATTGGAAGAAATTATAGAAAGTTGATTTAATAAATGGATACTTCCATTTATTTTTTTTTAAGTATTTTATAATTGATATACTGTTGAAATATTTTACTTGTCTGATACTAAATTTGTTTTTAATAAATTCCATGTTTAAATTTTTAACATCTTCTATGAAATTTTCTAATATATTATTTATTCTATAAAATCTTAGAAACTGACCAAAATATATACCTTTACAACAATTTAATGAAATATTAGAATTCATATTACAGTATTTTATAATATTGAAATTATAATTACTTTTTTTATTATAAATTTTAATAGCATTATTTGTAAGGTCTATATTTAGGTCTAAAAAGTTAACTTTTTTGTTTCTATAAATTTTTTCATTGTTCTTAAGTTTCAAGTATTTAGGATAAATTTTAGGTATTAAATTTTTGAACTGTGGATTATTAAATATTATGATGTCATCTACATAACGGAACATTTGCCAGTTAACATTATTTTGTAGAAAGTATTCTCTTTCGTACCAGAATAATATTAAGTTTGCTAATAACGGACTTGAAGACGTTCCCATGGGAACTCCTTCTGATTGAATATATATTTTATTTTTAAATTCTATATAGTTAAAATTTAAAAATGTTTCCAGTAGTTTTTGCTGTTTTAAGATCTAATTTAATTGTTTTATATCTGTTATGAATAATTTTAATGTGGAAAGTTTTGTCATTAATGATTTCGTTAAATAAATTGGTTATTTTATTATATAGATCTCTTAAATTTATTTTAGAATATAGGTCCTCAAAGTCAAATGTGTGTACTGTTTCCATGTTTGTCCAATTGTTCATTAAATAGTTAATGATTTTTTTATTTGAGTCGATAAATTTATCTGTAAAGATGACTGTAAAGATTATAAAATTTGGATTTCTTCCCTTAACTATCTTCTCTTTCTTCTTTGAATGTCTGGTTTTTCTACAACTTCAAAATATAAGGTCTAAATTTGTCCCCCCCCCCCCACAACATGTGTCATCCAGAAATAGATGTTTACAGTTGAAGGCGTTCGCGGACAAGGTAGGTACACATTATATCTGTTCATATAAATGTTTCACTGAAGTAACTTTATATTAACACATAAAATCCGGTTGAAAGGAGGTCTAGACATAATAGAGAAGGGATGAAATGTTGAAAGCTGAATTTCTATTTGAGAATTCCCGGTTCAGCAGACCTCTTTTTTCAATAATTACTCCAATTTAAGTTTTTTGTATATGTCTGGTCTACCATTAGGGTTTCAAAACATAATAACCAAACTTATAATAAAAGTTAACTCATAATATAGATATTTTACTAAATACAACTATTTATATTCATATTTTAAAATAAAAAAATTTAAAAAATCATTTAAAAAAAAAAGAATAAAATATAAAATTATAAATATATATATATATATACTAACAATCTTATCTACCTTATTTACAAAACTTTTTGTTTTCTTATTATTAGTTTGATTAATAGTGCATGATTCTGTCTTTCTCTCTTTTTTCTAACTATCATATATATTCTCACTTCTTTTATTCTATATATAGGATTAGAGTATGTCTAAATGACGTGTAAAAGCCGATACAAAAGACGTTACGTTGTTAAATTTTATTGTTATTAATTATAAATATATAATTAACTAGATGATGTTTTAGAAGTAAAGGATTTTTTTTTCTCTCTATCTATACTAAATAATAACAATTTACAAATTTTATAATTTGAATTTAAATAATCAAATTAATGAAGATAATTATAATACAATACTTAACTATAAAACTATACAACTATTTATTTTTATAATTAATTTAGATTTAGCTTGCTAATCTAACCAAATCTACTTGATATGATTTATCATTCTGATCAGTTTGCTCCTTAAATTTTAAATGTAGTATCACTGTTATATTTTTATTATATAGTTTTTACACTATATATATATATATATATATATATATACTAGCCGAATGACCCGGGAAACGCCCGTGTTTTACCCGATTGAATGTTTTGATTCAAATACTATTTGTTACATTAATAAATTGTGGTCATGTGGCCTAGTGGTCATGGCATCTGCACGCTAAGCGGAAGGTCGTGGGTTTTTTATTTTATCCATTCTGACCAAACTCTATCCGTGAACTTCACACAGACAGAATAAGGCAATTATATAAGTAGATATTATATATATGTTGTAATGTAGTTTGATCCTGTTGGGTGACAATAGTGTGACGGGTTAGTTGCAGTCGTTGTGGTCACAATATTCAGAATGGTGTCAGGTGTGAATTGAATTACACGAGAGAACAAGGCATGTAGGATATCATTTTAGAAAGAGCGATGGAGCAAGTGAAGGCGACGCCAGTTAAGGTAGGTCTGTCAATCATCGTGTCTCAGAGAGACTGATCTGTTTCAGCAAGAAAGGCGAACAGCTGATAATCTCGACATATTTTCCGGACCTTTTTCCAGTGTGGCGCCGACTGTACTCAATCGAATTTTATTATATCGTTTTGATAATTATATTATAACTACATACCACATGGAGATATCAGTATAAATTTTAATATATTACAAATATATATATATATATATTTATGTGAAATGCAAATTCAAATCTAAAGTTGATGCAACAGAGTTTGCCAGTTTGACCCTCCTGACAAGATGAAACTGATGCTGATCATCCTGATGATTTTGTGTGTCCTGTTAGCCTACTCTGTGGCTGAGGAAGGAGACGATGAACAAAGTAAATCTTCTTATATCGTGATGCATTTACCGTAAGGAGGTTACCTCTCAATAATATACACTCTGGACAGTTTAAGGAAGTTGTACCTTTCAGCATGTGTATCGGGATTAAGACAATAGCTCTGAAAAATATTTTATATACAATTATATTTAGTAAAGACAAATAATATAACAGGGTGTGAACAAAATGACCTTTGTCTCCTACAAAAAAAAAAAAGATGCCCGACAACATTAAAGACATTCCACTTCCTTAAGTTTTGTCCATGAGTGTATATAGATGACGGGTTATTACCTTATGTTTAATATTCTGTCGACCATTTCAGTCTATTAAATAATTTGTTGTTATTCCATATCTCTATCTATCTTTGGATGTAAATAGACTTTTATTTAATAACAGTAAATAAACAAAAGAGAGAGAACACACTACAGAGATTTATTATAAATATGAAACTTTAAATCCTAGGCGAGAGATAAATGATACAATTGTTATGTTAATTATATATATCATTAATTTTAATTAATATACAGAATTAATAGTGTAAATATCAATCTTGATTATTGTTTGAAAAGTTATATTATTTTCACTATTTTCTTGATGTGCACTTTTCACCTTTATATTTACAACTATATAAGAGATTTGTGTATTACTTCAGTGGATAACAAATCTCTTGAATTTTCTCGCTTATTTTGAATAAAATAACACCAAACGACGAAATAAACCCATGTACACGATAAAAACACATTGATAGTGACTGTTCATAACAATATTTTCTGTATAAACAAAAGAAGTTATTATATTATACAATATTATTTTTATTCATATAAATTATCTAAAATAAAATACATTCATTATTCTGAAAAATAAATATAAAAATCAAGTAAAAAGTTTCTTTTAAGTTTAGTTTTGCAAGCTTTATAGCAAATATACTGCTCTTCATCGGATTTAATCATTAATATTTATTAAAATGAATAACGAACCAGCTTTTGAGTTGAAAGATTCAGCTCTTTGACTTGCTTTCTTCACAAATGTATGTTCTAAATTGCGTAATGTTATACCAATACCATCTTCCTGCAATTTTAAGCTCTAGATTGCATTCTAAATGACCCTATTTTTACATCGAGTTGAAAAAGTTTACACTAACGGAGCCGTATGTGCCCAGATCTTGGAGACTGCCCACGTGTAAATAAAAATGTTAAGTGCCCTGAAAGATACATCAAATGTGAAAAAAATAGCGATTGTAAAAAAAAAATCACAAATGCTGTCGCGACCGCTGTGGAAAGAAATGTACGCGTGTACATCGTAAGCGTGATCGTTAATGCAACTCTCTCCTATGACATTGTGGCAATAAAATTTTACAAACTTGGATTGTAAATTCAATTAGAATACATAGTCACTTCTTTGTTCTATATACTCCTAAATATTAAATTAAAAATATCCTGTCCAAGTGCACATATTGAGCTTTTTTAGATGACATAGCAACATATAGTGGAACAGACATCAACTGAAAACCAAGGAATGGGTAATAAAGGCCAATAAAAAAATGCATAACCAACGTGCTACTTTAATACTTCCTTTCCTTTAAAAATTATAGTTGGCCTGTTCACTTTATATTTTACTATACAAAGTTTAAAAACATTACCTATTTTAATAAGGGTGAATAAATCGCGTTTGAAAACTCTTCCTGATTATCACTTATAGGTTTAAGAAAGAGAAAATATATTTTGAAAAACTAGCACAGGTGTATACCACCATGGAATATGTAAACCAGATTTGTATTGTCAGTCAAACACAATCAGTTCTATTTTCTTTCCTATTGACAGGTGCTGAGGTATAAAAGTGGCTTTGTTCGATGGACCAGTCGGTTCCTGTGGCCATTCAGTAAGTATGCAACTTCAACATCTCATCATCATTATACTCTCTCTGTTGTAAAACAGGAGAAACCTCTGAAAACAGGGTTTACAATTAATGTCTTGCTCTCTCTCTCTCCCATTATTATTTTGCAATTGTAGTAATTCCTGTGGAGATATAGCAGAGACAATTATTAAAAAATAATTTTTGCACAAATTCAAGTTTTTAATCTTTCTACAAAATTTTCATTATGTTTCTTTGTTTATATAAATATAGATTTCATTCATATATTGATTGGAAAGAAATTTGATTAAAATCGTAAAAAAGCTTTCATGCATTCTAGTGGAATTTATAGAAAGTGTTTTTTTTATAGCATTAGCTAATCTTTTTAATTGAAGAATGTTTAATATATATACTCTCATAAACAAAAGTTAAGGAAGTGGAAAATCTGATGTCGACACTATATTTTTTTTAAGGAGACAGACAATTTTGTTCACACTTGGTTAACTCGTGTGTCTTAAATAATGGTCACCGTGCATCAGATACTTTTCAGAGTTATTGTCCTTATATACATGCTAAAAGTTACAACTTTCTTAAAATTTGTCCATGAGCGAATATTGCGCATTTATCAATTCCCATTGCAAAGAACGTGTAGACAAAAATGTGTCTCTCTCATTAATTTTAAAATAAGATGTCGAATTTAACAACATTATTTATTTTAAAAATCTATGCTACATCATATTGAGTAAGGTTTGAGAAAATGTTAATTGTTTTTATACATATTTCGAAGAAAGAAGTGTCATTTTTATAGAAGAGAATATAATTATATATCACTCTCTTGGAAATAAACATTGATATATATCAAGTGATTTCATTTAATATTTATAATGAAATTATAGATACGTTGATTTAAATAATGTTACTATGAATATTAATAGGAAGGATTATTACTCTATTCTTCTATAAAACTATTTCTTCTATAAAACTATTTCTTCAGTAAAACCATTTATTCTATAAAACTTGTTGGAAAAGGAGTTCGAAGCAGCCAATGGGAGGCCGACGGAGGGTGCTACGTGGATGCAGCGGCTGAAATGAGAAAAACAATAAGAGAAGAACTTGTAAACCACTTTCGAACGCGATAATTTGCCCTGATCCCCGATTCTTTTAGTGTAAATACTTAAGTCATTCAGGGAAAGTTTACCTCTCTTCCGGGCCAACGTATTGAATACTGGCCTTATTCTAGAAGTTTGACTGTTCCTTTTATACACTGGTTGATGTGGCAGGTATTGTACACCATCTAGTTTTTACTCTCTGGCATACTCGATTATCCCCTGATTCATCCATTCTTCAAAGATTTGTCCATACTCTTTCATGTCTCCAACTTCTTCAAGTTTTCTTCTTACAGAACTTAGTTGGTTTTCGGTTAGGTCTCCATTCGAAGGAATCCTTTCCTTGTCTTGCACCCAGGGTAGAGCTACCTCATAGCGCCCCTCAATATCTCTCGTCGTGGTGTGGGCGAAAGGTTCCTCCATTTCAGCTTGTAATGACTGAATTTTCTTCTCAACCTCCGCGTCAGAGACCCCAATTGCATCTAATTTCCACAAGTTTTCTAAATCTAAAGATAGAAGTGTGGTCACGCAAAGGGAGCTGGTGTCATCTCTCACCTCCGTTGGAGGATTTTTTCCCATCACAATCCATCCTAGTTTGGTACGGATTGCCACAAGTCCAGATAAGATTCTTCTCTGATCATCAGTTAGCAATCACCCGGCGATGTCCGCACCTATAAGGATTTCTATAGGGTCTCTCTTCAAATCAGACACGTCGAGTTCTTCACTACCTTCTAAAAATGATCTAGGGCACACCGGAGTTATGCTTCCACAGATAAGGGGTTGACCTAGTGCTTCAAATTCACAGCGATAGGAATTATTGATGTCATATAAATAATTGGTATAGACCTCATGTTCAACTACGTCGGTACTTGATCCTCCAAACAAGGAATGCCGGAAGAACTCTCTCCTAGATTGTTAGTATTCCATTTCCATTGCTGTGTTATGTAAAATATATGACATTTGGGATCCTGTGTCTATTATAGCCCGTGCCGTCTTCTCCGTTCTGTTCCCTTTGAGGGTCACTCTCAAAGTAGGTAACAAGACGTCTGGGGAAGTTGATAAGTTGGCGAGAGTTTCATCTTGCACCGTTGGAGACTTAGAAGATCCACCTCGAACTGAAATCCGTTTTATGCACATGACATCCAGGTGGGAAGACATGCTGCAGATCGAACAATGGACTACATTTCTGAAATATTTACTTAAATGAGGGTTGTTTTTGGAATTACGACTAGTCCATATCTTTTAAAGGCTACCTTATCTTTCCACTTAAATAAAGCTCCTGAACATTTGAAAATCACAGCTGAACAGTTGATATCATCCTTTTATGTTGACAATTGTTTATCCAGTTTTCAAAATGTTGTAGAAAGGGAGAAATTCGTGAAAGAATCTATTGAACTGCTCTCTACAGCTTGTTTCAATCTCCGAGATTG